CTACCATGTTTCTTTTTAGTATGCACATGCTTCACTCTACCTTCTTAAACATATGAAATATAGCTAGAACAATTATTTTAATGTCCTTTTCTTAATTTCATCAGTTGTGTCATTTCTGGATCTGTTGTCTACTGATTGATTTTTTCCTCATTATAGTCTATATTCTTTGCTTCTTTGCATGCCTGATAATTTTTTATTAGATACCTTACATTTTCAATTGTTAGGTGCTAGATGTTTTTATTTTCCTGTAAATATTCTTGAGCTTTGTTCTAGGGAAGAGTTTGAGCTTCAAGCCTTGCTTTTAAGCTTTATTAGATGGAGCCAGAGCAGCCATTAGTCTAGGGCTAATTTAGCTACACCCCTAAAGCACTGCTAAAAAGTACTGAGTATAGTACTCTACCTGATGACCTACTCTGCCTCTTGGGAACATGAAATATTTCTGGGCTATATGAAGTTAGGATTTTTCCACCTACTTTCCCAAGATTTGGATAGTTTTCTTATACACTTATTCTGATCAATAACCAGCTGAAAATGTGAGGGGAACCTTCTGCAGATCTCAAAACTGCTCTCTCTGTCCATCTCTCTCTTGTCTGTGTTGCTATCTCCTCTCTGGTACTTTGCCCTAAAAATTCTATCCACCTTGGCCTTCTCAAATTCTCAGCACTGTCTCTTAACTCAGGAAAGAAGGCTGGACTCTGTTTGAGTTCTCTCTCCCAGAACTGTGGCCAGGAAATGCTCTCCATGCAGTAAGCTGGGGTGACTATAGGGTGTACCTCATTTGTTTCCTTCATCTCAGGGATCACTCTCTTGTGCTGCCTGTTTTCCAGCATTTGAAAAATGTTGCTTCAAATATTTTGTCCAGTTTTTTATTTTTTTTTTGAGACAGAGTCTCACTCTGCTGCCCAAGCTAGAGTGCCGTGGCATCAGCCTAGCTCAAAGCAACCTCAAACTCCTGAGCTCAAGTGATCCTCCGCCTCAGCCTCCCAGAGTGCTAGGATTACAGGTATGAGCTGTGAACCGGCCTGTCTAGTTTTTTAGATGTTTTATGTCAGAGGGTAAATCGTGGTTAGAAGTGAAAGTCTTTGAGAGAATACTTCAAGATTATGTAAATATCTGTTCTCCAACATATTTTTATTCACTGGTTTTGGCATCCATTGATCATTCTTATTTATATTGTTGATTAACAGGGTGGTTGAAAATTAGTGATTTTCTGACTATTATTTCTTCTATATTTACTAGTTGACCTGCTACCATGAAGAATAGCTTTTCCTTTTCCCTTCTTTACTTATGTATTTAAGTATTTGGTTAGTGTGGGGGACAGACTCTGGGGTGGTCCTCATGATCCCTGCCTCTCAGCATTCACTACCTATGTGGTCCCCTCCCTTTGAGTATGGGTGGGACCTGTGACTTGCTTCGAACTAATAAGATACAGCAAAGGTGTATAGGTGGTTAGCCGTATGTGACTATATTGTAAAAAAGAGTGTAACTGTCTTACAAGGTGTTAGGATGTGAGCTAGTACACATGGGTTTTCAGAAAGATTTCTACAGACAAAGATTAGGATAGAAAGAAGAAGTTTATTTACTTTTCCCTGAGTGGAAAAGGGCCAACACGGTGCAAGAGAGTGAGATAGTCTTGACAGAGAAAATCAGGTACTCAGGCTTTTTATTTAGCGGGTAAGGAAGGTTTATGGCTATAGCCAAATTACTAGGGTATGTGAACTATCATATCCACTCCTTCTCTTAGTGGCAGACTGATAGCAGAAGCGGCTGTCAGAGATCTTGTTGCCAATCTTGCCCTTAAGATATGATTTGGGGCAGGATCTAAGGCCTGAAGTTTGTCCCCCCTCCCTATCCATCCAGGACCTTCTCAAGAACTCCTCAAGGCTATAAAAGCAGGTTCTAAAAAGGTAGTTTTAGTCAGTAAGTCTAGTTATCATATAAGAAAAAAATTTACATTTCCTTTTTGTCTGCTGGGCTCCTTTTTTTTTTTTTT